AAAAATTAGTTGAAAAATATGTATTAAAATATTATAACATATTAAAATAGGTTAAAATTGCATAAGTTTAATGAAGGAAATATTTATTTATTTATTGTTTAATAATATATTTATTTATGATCCACACTGGAGTAATCTTTTGGATCTTCTTTCTTTCATTTTTTATGAGATTGTTCAATAAATTTTTATACTATTATTTTTCCATTTTATATTGAGTGTATGTATTTATTTTTTGAATTTGAAAAAACATTTTTTTTTCAATAAAACTTACAACGAAATCTAGTATTTTTACAACTGTAACCTATTTTCTTACCGTTTCTCCAATTGAGACTACTGTGGATACGGCTGTGCTTTCGGTCAAATCTTCTAATAACAGAGACAAAATAACTATTAATATGTTTGTTGGATCTATAAAACTCTTAATATGTTTGTTAGATCTATAAAACTATTAATATATTTTACTTCTACACGACATCAAGCTAATAATGATATACAAACTACTGAAATAATTTCATAATAATAATGTGTATAGTTTTTGTTCTTTAGAACAAAGCCATATTCGGCTATCTTCTGTGTCCACCGCGAGGAATCGAACCCCGGATTTTAGCGTTAGATGTCCGTAAACTTACCGCTGTCCTGCCAATGAAGTCCAAAATATTTTATGTATAAGTACAAAACAATAAAAAGGTATTTATGGATTTAAGCAACATTGTCAATTCTCGAGTCAGAAACAATGAAGTCTACAATATTTTATGTATAAGTACAAAACAATAAAAAGGTATTTATGGATTTAAGCAACATTGTCAATTCTCGAGTCAGAAACAATGAAGTCTACAATATTTTATGTATAAGTACAAAACAATAAAAATGTATTTATGGATTTGAGCAATATTGTTCAATTGGCGAGTCAGAAGTGATGCAAAAATTGTAGAGCTTCAAAATCTTGAAAAAAAAATTATAATCACAATTTCCAAAAATATCAAGTAATCGAACCCCGATATTTAGTGTTATAAGCTCTCAGATTACCACTGGACTTCCGGCGAGCGACAAGAATTAAACTTACGTACTAATACAAAGCAAACTTTGCACGAATGAGGTGAAATGAGCAGCACTTGCCGAGTACAACGTAACACTTCTGGAGAGTCTTGGAGGAGTAATCTACAAAACAAGCCCTGATGAAAAAAAATGACGTTTCGAAAGGCCTGAAAACTATGCTTAAATTAGTTGATTAAGTATTGTTACGACAGCGGAAGTCGCGCGATTCTGGGAGCATACACACCTGAGTTTCTAGAAGGATCGTGACTTAGCGGGCAACCTCACGAATGTCCCAGCGTTTGATAGACGCCCTCTTTTTTAGTATATAAGCCGGAGATAGATTGAAGAGAAATAATTGATAATCGAGTCAAGCGAGCAGTAGGCACGGTAAGTGAAGTGTGTGAATCGCTGTGAATTATAGCGTGTGTTTATAAGATAAAGTTTAAAGTGACTGTGGAAATTAAATGTATTACAAAGTTTGTAACGAGAAAGAATAAACTAGCTTTAATTAAGAAAGGACTTGTATCGCTGAAATTTCTCGGAAAGAAGTTTTATGGGAAATTATCAAGCAAGCAGATACTAACAAATTGGTGTCAGAGAGTGGGACAGAAAAGAGAAGAATAAAAAGAAACGAGAAGTGGCAAATCAAATTACAGCTTAGCAGATTTGATGGCAGCAATACAAGAACAGCAAAAGAAACAAGAAACAACGTAACAATATATTGAGAAAATACATTAAACTTTATTTCTCCTCCTGAAGAATTTTTTTCTTCCTAAAGTTTTCTGTCAGTAAAACTAAACAAAAAAAAGCTAAAGTTTGGATCATGCAGAGAAATTGACGCTAGTTCCTAGAACTAGCTTAGGCCTACGTCAACCAATGATGGAGATGAAGCAATGTAAGCAATTCGACTATCAACAATCAAATTTTACTTTAACTTACGAAATTAAGCTTTCATTCCATAATGGAACAAATGTAAGTTATAAATTTGACATGTAAGGATATTCGGATAATAATATTGATACTTGAAACTGTCAGTAAATGGTAAACTCCATAAATATGATGATGCCTTTACTGGTGAAACCGTGGTCGTGAATAAATGAATTTTTTTGTGAAATGTACAGTTGTCTTTGTTTTTCTTCAATTTTGTAATAATAACAATATTCGTTAAATCAGCTTTCTTTTGGTTTGGTACAATGCTAAACCTTGTTTATTATGCATTTTTGATAGGATAACAAAATGTTTCGTATGGTCAGTCCTACTCTACGGGATTCAAATTTGGAACTTGTCTGTTGAAATAAAACAACAGTTCGAATATTTGAAATGTAGTTTTATAAGTGAATGATGAAGATCAACCACAGAGAGACAAGAACTAGTAAAGAAATATAGTAACGTGCCAAGACAGAAACACAACTGCTGGACATGTGAAGGATGATGCTCCACTTTAGGCGTGTAATTAGATATGAGGGAAGGTAGGTAGAAATTCTGATGGGTAAAAAATCAAATGGAGACGAGAGATAAAGAGAGGCAGGTGGGGAGTTACTTGGCTCAATAGCATTTGACAATGGGGGAGTAGGAGGGTATAGATGATAAGCTTGAATTAAGAAAGTTGATGCAAACAACAAGGAATAAAGAACAGTAGAAAACCATTGTCTTAGAACCGGAGAAGACACAACGGCTGACTGATTGACAGTCATAACCCACATTAAATAAATATTGTATTTATTTCATTGGTCTTACAATATGGGAGGTTTGATGATAATTACTAGATTCCTCACGGCGCTAAATGATATTTGAAAATAACGTAATTCGTTTTGGTCTAACTTGGTGCAAAATATTGTAAAATGTGTTGTAACTGAGTCGGTCATGAAAATCAAAATAAAATATTTCTAAAACACCTTTTTACAAATACGCCTTCCCGTTAGTGTAAAAACTCAAACATATACAGTTTATGCAAGCTATGTTTTGTATTTTTTGAAGTATGCTGTTATTTATCAGTGAAATACTATAGAAAATAGACAAAAAGGTAACCTGGTGAACGGTAGGGGAAACATCTATCTGAAACGACTTGAATTTCTTTTATGATGAAATTAACAATATTTTAGACAAACGAAATTAGCAATAATTTAGTTAGATAAAAGTTACAATATTTCAGTTAGATGAAATGAACAATATTTTAGTTAGATGAAATTAACAATATTTTAGACAAACGAAATTAGCAATAATTTAGTTAGATAAAATTTACAATATTTTAGTTAGATGAAATTAAGAATATTTTAATCAGAGTCAGTGAATCTTATTTTTAACAAAGTGAAAAATACATAATGTAAATAGATTAAAGTATGAAATATTTTTAAGTTATCATAAAACAACTCAAAATTTTCAGAATAAATAATACAAGTCAGAGTTTAAAAAATCAAATGTCGCAATTCGTAGGCTTAAGTTCAACAACACATGCTTTTCGAGGTATTTTCAGTCAACTAATTCAAAGATGTGACATCACAAATTCAATCAGACCATGAAACAGTTATGCAAGTACCTCGTATACAAAAGAAATAGGCTTGGTTGTTATTAAACCCAAAACTACATAATGGGCTATCTGGTTCTGCTCACTAGGTGTATTGAAACCCGGTTTTTAGTGTCGTAAACCTGCAAACACACCTTTGACCCATTGGAGGGTAAGAAATGGGTTGCGATGATTCGCAATCTTAAGCGCAATATGAAAACTTGTTAGCCAGACATTTATTAATGTGATATTTATAGGCTCATTGACTTCCTTCAGAATAATCAGTCAAGACCCACTAGCAGGAGGTTCCAAGGATACCATGTTAAGGAGTTTGTCTATTTGTCTGTCTCACCTCTAACCGAGTTCGTAAGGAAGAAAGAGTCGAATCTTAGAAGGTGCATAAGAACAATCTTTATTAACACACCACTAAATCATAAACACACGTATTATCATAAAACTAAACAAAAAGGGGTAAGTTGGTGTGTTGTGGCTAGGTGTGTTGAACTGACGAGAGAGAGATTATGTATAAGAAACTTTCTTTATTAGTTCTCTATTACCAGTTCATGGTGTGCCCCTCCCCCGTAGGGTAAACTTCAACACTGTAATATTTAAGTTAGAATAAGATCATGTCTTGCACTGTGAGTTAAAATAAAATACTCTACTAAAACTAGAAAAATCTCAGAAAAGATCTAACGAAACGTTAAATGAAAATCTTACCATATTTCAGTTCAATTATATTATATATTCAACACCAAAAGTAAACTTACAGTTTAAGTTTAAAAGTTCAGCAAAATATCTATAATAATACCAAATAAAGGAAAATTTGCTTTTAATACAAAATATATAATAACAACTCAAGCCAAGTTTGCAATGAAAACACTTCTGCATATGACCTCCGTCCACTCGTGCTCGAGAGCTGGTATGGAGGAAACCCCGGATCCTTACCCAATTCGCTGAAAAAATAGCTTTATATTTCTGGACATTACATGCTATCTTCCCTGCAAGAAAAGTCAGTTAATTAGTAATTAGCGGACAAAAAGATCCCGGACAGAGCTAGCAAGAAGCAAAGTTAAGATGTATTTATTTCGACAACTTTCCATGCACAATGAACTGTTTGTTTTGTTCTTGTTGAACGTCGCACAAAACTACTCGAGGGTTATCTATGCTAGCCCTCTCTGATTTTAAAGCGATACAATAAATAGAGGAAAAGTAGCTAGCCACAACTACTCACCTTTTACATTAGAGAAGATGTCGGGTTCCCTTGGCTTATCTATTTCAACGCTATTTTAATTTTATAAAAATAAAGTTTCAATCGGAACTTCTCAACAAATCTTACCTGTTATATTAATCTCATCTTCCGTAGTTTCAGCTGAAAAGTTCACTGCAGAGGGCACCAGTGTAGAATCTGACTGTGAAAATGTTCTGTCTGAAATCGGTTTTGCGATGACTTGCATACCTGTCCCATTTGTATTTTCTAATAACTCAGTTAAGTGAGTTATTCCTGAAGCTGCTGCATTTTGAGTCGGACTGACTTCTGTTCTTGGCGAAGAAGATCCAATGATCTCAATAAAAAACGAATCCTTTGTGAGTGATGGTTCTTGAGTAATAAATAAGGTATCTTTTGAAGTCGGAGTTTCTTCAGATGTGACAAAGAACGTTTGGTTTTTAGACAACGGGTCGTCAGAAGTCATAGAAAATGTTTCTTCTGTGGATTCTTCGTAAGTCATAAATGACCCGTTTGCAATCATAGGTTCGTTAAATGGGATTCCATCAATAGTCGATGATCCTTCAGAATGGAAAAGTAAAACATCTTTGCTTGTTGGCTTGTGTGAGGATGTTTCCTCAGGAACCTCAACAGATGTAAGGGATGATAAAGTCATCTCTTCAAAGTGTTCTATTTCAGTAGTAGTGCGTTCAGCAAAGTCGGTGTCGATTGTGGAACTTATGGATTTATGGCTAGACAATGTTGAGTTAAGTGAGGAATTGGTATCAGTAGAATCTAGGGAGACAGGAGGTTGCGTTTGTACTGCAAGTAGGTGATATGCTTCATCAAAGTCAATGGATTTTGAAGAAACTAAAAAAGAATCATTTAATTGTCGTGTATCAATTGTCGTGGAACTTTGTGAAATATTCGTGATACCTTCTTTTGTGTAAGGTCCCTCGGTTTCTCGTTCTGGTTCTTTCATTGCTGTGAGTAATGAATCGTTATATGAAGGCTCAGGTTGGAATAATTCGTCTGTGTGAATGGAGAGTGAACCAGTGACGCTGGATTCTACAAATGATGTTTTAGTAACTGTTTCTGGTGAAATACTATCGGGTGTTGTTGTAATTTCTTCAGAATGGAATGTTGACTGTCCTGCTTGGATAGTAATAGTTTGAATCTCAGGTGATTCTGCATCATCGATGAACAATGATGTCTTAGTGGTCAATTCCAAGTACTCCAAAATAATTTGTGTTGAAGAAGAAGAATCCTCTGGAACAAGATCTTCTGCGCTTAAAGTAGCGTGTGTTACAGTAGTTCTAGCTATTTCCTCTCTTGAGCTTATTTTAGGTATGTTAACTGATGAATCAGTTCTTATCTCAGTTGTGGGAGAGGTTTTCTGAGAAGGGAGCGCTCTGCTTGTTGGTGTAGCAGACTCTGAATCTTTGTTTAGATTCAAATTCTCTGAAGATGCAAAAGTAGTCTTTCCGTTTATAAGGATCGATGTGGAATTGTTTTCATTTAGCGACGTAAGTGTGGTGTCCAGGTTCAGAACTGTAGAAACCGAGTTGGATTCATTTTCTGAATTATTAGATGTAAACAAGGGAAATTCGGAAGGATCGATTAAATGAGAGGGTGTTCTGCTTGTTACTGATGGGCTTCTAGTCTGCTTGAGAAAATATTGCAACATTTTTCATTTTGTTAAATAACAAAAAACATCTGTGTAACCATAAAACTATCTTTACCATCATAAAACATATGTACCACCATAAAAACATATGTACTACCATAAAAACACCAGTACTAAGACAGAAACATATGTACCACCATAAAAACATATGTACTACCATAAAAACACCTGTACTAAGACAGAAACATATGTACTACCATAAAAACACCTGTACTAAGACAGAAACATATGTACCACCATAAAAACATATGTACTACCATAAAAACACCTGTACTAAGACAGAAACATATGTACTAACATAAAAATATCTGTGCTATCATAAAACATATGTACTACCATAAAAACACCTGTATTATCATAAAAACACCTGTACTAACACAAAAACATATGTACTACCATAAAAACATATGTACTAACACAAAAACATATGTACTACCATAATAACACCTGTACTAACACAAAAACATATGTACTATCATAAAAAAACGTATGTGCTATCACAAAAACATATGTACTACCATAAAAACACCTGTACTATCATAAAAACATATGTGCTATCACAAAAACATATGTACTACCATGAAAAAACATAAGTACTACCATAGAAACATATGTACAAAAAAAAAACATATGTAGTACCATAATAACATCTGTACTATCATAAAACATTTGTACTACCATAAAACATCTGTACTACCATAAAACATCTGTACTACCATAAAACATCTGTACTACCATGAAACATTTGTACTACCATAAAACATCTGTACTACCATAAAACATTTGTACTACCATAAAACATCTGTATTACCATGAAACATTTGTACTACCATAAAACATCTGTACTACCATAAAACATTTGTACTACCATAAAACATTTGTACTACCATAAAACATCTGTGCTACCATAAAACATCTGTGCTACCATAAAACATTTGTACTACCACAAAACAGTTGTACTACCATGAAAAAACATAAGTACTACCATAGAAACATATGTACAACAAAAAACATATGTACTACCATAATAACATCTGTACTATCATAAAAACATATGTACTACCATGAAACATCTGTACTATCATAAAACATCTGTACTACCATAAAACATTTGTACTACCATAAAACTTTTGTACTACCATAAAACATCTGTACTACCATGTAACATTTGTACTTCCATAAAACATTTGTACTACCATAAAACATTTGTACTACCATAAAACATCTGTACAACCATAAAACTTTTGTACTACCATAAAACATCTGTACTACCATAAAACATCTGTACTACCATAAAACATCTGTACTACCATGAAACATTTGTACTACCATAAAACATCTGTACTACCATAAAATATCTGTACTACCATAAAACATCTGTACTACCATAAAACATCTGTACTACCATAAAACATTTGTACTACCATAAAACATCTGTACTACCATAAAACGTCTGTACTACCATAAAACATTTGTACTATTATAAAATATCTGTACTACCATAAAACATTTGTACTATCACAAAAGCAAATCTGTACTACCATAAAAATCTGTGGATTTAATTTTAAAAACAAGAGATTGGCGATGTTGTATAAAAACTATAATTTAATATTTTTCACTCAAAATATTAAATTATAACAGGTGAAAAATATTAAATTATAACAGGTGAAAAATATTAAATTAAAGCAAGTGAAAAATATTAAATTATAACAAGTGAAAAATATTAAATTATAACAAGTGTAAAATATTAAATTATAACAAGTGAAAATATTAAATTATAACAGGTGAAAAATATTAAATTAAAGCCACTTGTTATAATTTAATATTTTACACTTGTTATAATTTAATATTTTTCACTTGTTATAATTTAATATTTTTCACTTATTACTCCTCTCTTCTGTCTGTCTTCATGTTTCACACATACATACATAGTTTTGCTGTGAAAACCGTATCAGAACATTAATGACATCCAGAGGTCTTCACTTCACATGAAAATAGTACAATATAATACAGTATAGATAAGAACAAACGTAGAATTATCATATTTATACTCACGTGGCTCAACTTTTTGGTTGAAGTAACCTTGAACGCTTTTTCTAAATTCAGTCACTGCAACCAGTGAGCAACAAGTTCAAACAGGTGAGTAAATAGTAAATATACAAATTCGGTATGACACCTTAACTAAAGCAAAGCATGAACAAGTGCTGTAATTACCTGGTCTGTAGAGATGTCCTGTGGAGACATCGTATTAGCTACGATTAGACGAAGTAGATAAACACCTGTAAAAGAAAACAAAAGACTATAAGAATGTATGAACGCATGAAATTATTATAATCTTTTTGGAGCCTACATACGTTGAAAATTTGTATCTTTCATTTTATATTTCTATATGCATCCTATCTGCTTATTTTGGCTTTTGTTAACCCTAATCTCTCTTTTTTCTTTTACACATTAGAATTCGTCTCCATCTGATTGAAGTCTGATGTTGTTTTTTTAATGCTTACTATATTTTCACCCTAGTCTTATATAAGCTTAAGCTTAAGTTAAAAAATTACCGCTGTTTTTTTCTATTTTCTTCAGGTGTATTTTTTCTCTGCCTAATATATACACATACTTAATTCTTCATATCTTCTTATAGCCTATTTATCTAGAATGTTTTCATGAAATGACTGATCAAATAGCTTTGTAATTCACTTGAAAAATCAATAAAACTCGAACACGAAGCAACAGAAGACTAGTTTTTGACTTCAGTTAAGTTCTAACAAGAAACAACAAAACTACTAGCTTTGGAATTCGGTATAAAAATCAATAAATCTTGAACATGTAACAGTAGAAAACTAGTTTTGCAATTCACTAGGAAAATCTGTAAAACAAGGACAAGAAACTACAGATCTACCACCTCTCAAATTCACTAGCAAAATCTGTAAAACAAGAACAAGAAACTACATATCTATCACCTCTCAAATTCAGTAGGGAAATCTGTAAAACAAAACAAGAAACTACAGATCTACCACCTCTCAAATTCACTAGGGAAATCTGTAAAACAAGAACAAGAAACTACAGATCTACCACCTCTCAAATTCAGTAGGGAAATAAGTAAATGTCGGATATGAAATAACAGAAAACTGGCTTTGGAATTTACAAGAGAAGTCAATAAAAAACGAACATGAAACTACAGAACAACATTAATAAGTAATTATATGTTTAAATATTGATATCATAAGCTATTTATAACCCTGACTTTGGACGAAAGACCTCGTCGGCACTAGATATGGCAGATGTAACGTGGTTGCTTTCGCTCATGGATTCTTAGAATTGAAACGTTTTTACTAGGAAAACGGGTTGAACTTCGAGTTTGTTTGCTTTTTCTTTTTTCTTTTTAGGAGGGGGAGCATTTTCTGAAACACTGTAAACCTTTTTAGAGTGTTTTAATTTACATCAGCGTATTGATATTCCTATGTGAATGTGTAAACGCCAGGGAACTTCGTGTTGGGAACTACATATGTAGACTTTGAACCTAGTAACCACACTGCGGATGCTCTTCTCAGCTATGTAATGTTTAATTCCAAGAGCATGTTACACCCACCTTATCCGAACGAGAATTCATAAACATGTGTATACTAAATTATATTACCCGAAGAATGTTTTTTTTTGTTGTTTGTTTATTCTGCTATAAACACTTATAAAATCCAATAAAAATATCCCAAGGTCCCTATGTGGTGTTTGATGAAGAAAAGTCGTATATTCCAGATTTAAGCTGAGCCACTCATTTAGTCATGAGAAAATATAGCATTTGATCCTCAGAATCAGCACTACACACCCCTTAAAGCCACCAAAATTGTGCTCTAATAATTAATGTTCAAGTATTTGGTATTTTCAACGTGAATGAATGACACCTTATTCGACACATAGGATAAAAGACCAGGTCAGAGTTCAGGCATAATCATTCCTTATTTAAAACTGCATACCAAAGCGAGGTGAACTATTCAGTGGAACTCGCTGCCTCTGCGGCTACTCGGAATTATTGGCATGGTTTTAACAGTTATAACAATCAAAAGTGCATAGCTTGTTTAGCAGCATGTCGAGGCTCGAACCTTAGACGTTTCTTGGCATATAACCACAAGGCCACACCCGGACTCTCAACAGTAATGTAGTGTATTGATAAGAGCTTTGAGAAGGTGTGAAGGTATTTGGTAATTGTCTGATGCAAACCACTTATAAAATAAGCAATCACGCGAATCCAGTGAATACTAATACTCTGTAAGTCTGTGTTGCTTTGATGTGGATATGGCAGTGTGAATACTAATCCTCTATGAGTCTGTATTGCTTGGATCTGGATATGGCAGTGTGAATACTAATCCTCTATGAGTATGGGTTGCTTGGTTGTGGGTATGACAGTGTGAATACTAATCCTCTATGAGTCTATGTTGCTTGGATGTGGATATGGCAGTGTGAATACTAATTCTCTATGAGTCTGTGTTGCTTGGAGGTGGATATGGCAGTGTGAATACTAATCCTCTATGAGTCTATGTTGCTTCCATGTGGATATGGCAGTGTGAATACTAATCCTCTGTATTGCTTGGATGTGGATATGATAGTGTGAATACTAATCCTCTATGAGTCTGTGTTGCTTGGATGTGGATATGAAAGTGTGAATACTAATCCTCTATGAGTCTGTGTTGCTTGGATGTGGCTATGGCAGTGTGAATACTAATCCTCTACAAGTCCGTGTTGCTTGGATATGGATATGGCAGTGTGAATACTAATCCTCTATGAGTCTGTGTTGCTTGGATGTGGCTATGGCAGTGTGAATACTAATCCTCTATGAGTCTGTGTTGCTTGGATATGGATATGACAGTGTGAATACTAATCCCCTATGAGTCCGTATTGCTTGGATGTGGATATGACAGTGTGAATATTAATCCTCTATGAGTCTGTATTGCTTGGATGTGGATATGACAGTGTGAATATTAATCCTCTATGAGTCTGTGTTGCTTGGATCTGAATATGGAAGTTTGAATACTAATCTTCTATAAGTCTGTGATGCTTGGATCTGGATATGGAAGTCTGAAAATGCATGCATTTCAATGAACCATGAGTCAGAACACTATTAAATATATTTATCCAATGTGAACAACATTCAATATTGATTAGTTAGTAATTTATACTTTCTTCGCCAGCTGTGTCAGGTCTGGTCCACAGACTAACACCTTACACGTACTCACGAAGCTGTTATCCGATAACCCTAAGACTGATGTAATCATTGTTTTCGACCGACACGGATCATGTTTAGCTTTACGAATTTTGATACGTACTACATGTGCTCACGAATATATCCATTTGTGTTATTTAGAATGATTAATTTTCTATAAGCAATTCAGTTCCAACGATATGTAAATGTAACTTCAAACAACAAACATGCACGCTCTCTTGGAGCTTGGCTCGGGGTTGATGGACTTACAGGAGCCTGGCACTAAGCACTAACACACCACTGTTATATGTTTGTGTTTTAAAAGAACCATCATCAACCAACATCATTCTAACAGAGGCGTGAACACGATACGACCATGCAAAGCAAAACGGTTTCTTGCAATGCTCCAACGTTCCATTTATTGAACTGTTAAACAAATATACCATAAGCATTGTAATTTTAATCATTTTGTCGTGAAAGAATTTATGTTGAAGTTGGGGAACCTAATGTCAAGTGGAAAAGTTTTACCAATAACTGAAACTAAACGATAAAGGGGAGAACAGGGATCAGGTTGCACTTATCCCCTCCCATCTGAATGTTTGTTCTGCAAGATGTTAGGTCCTGACAAGGTGGAGTGGGGGTTAAGGAGGATAATCTGTTAGTTTTCAAAAAGAGGAAAAACAGACATTTACCAAGCAAGAAAACTAATATACAAATATATATATTGTCTCTTTCTCTCTCTCTGCCTGGAATGAATTAAATGTTGCATATGTCAGAATACCTCATCTGAGTGAGGCCTTGTCTAACAGAGCATTGTAATTCATCAAAATTGGGATGTTTTAATAAAAGATAAAGGACACTAAGCTTACTAAAAGGTTTAAAATTACAGCAATCACTTTAAAATTCTCACTTGTTTTTCTGTCGCTGTACGGCCCGGCATGGCCAGGTGGTTAAGGCACTTGACTCGCAATCTGAG